TTCCTGAAAAATTGTATTAATAATAATAATTGAAATCCTGCGATGAATTTTATTAAATTGAAAAAAATTTTGAAATTAATTGAATTCCTGTGGAAATTTTATTATTGTAGAAAATAATTGAATTTTGGATGAATTTTATCAATTTTTTTTAAATAATTGAATTCTTTTGCGAAATTTCATGAAAATACTGGATATTAAAAATAATTGAATTTCGAATATTTTTTGAAAATAATTGAATCGTTTTAAAGAATTTGATTATAATTTTTAAGAATAGTTTTTTGATTTCTAGTATTAGTGAATTTAAAGTAATGAAAATTAAAAAAAAATACCAGAAATAGTATTCAGTATTTGATTCAAATAAATATTTATTTGATAAATTAATAATAAATAAAAATTGATCCTAATACTTTTTAACCTCAACGAAAAGTGATAAAAGTTTTTCTTCACAATATGCGGAAAAAAATTACTTTTCGCGAGCTAATCATAATTATTCCAATATAGACTTTATACTTCAGGGATTAAAATAATAATAAATGACATTGTTTCGTGAATTTTCCTATTAATCAAAAAAAAAAAAAAAAAAAAAAAAAGAACAGGGACTTTATAAATGGTCAACTTTTAGCTCGATTTATTGGGAAAAATGCTTTTTACGACATGGTTTACCACTCCTCGTAAATTAAATAAAGCCGAGTGGACGAACCGGCGTGAAAAAAAAAGAAATTGAAAGCGCACCCAAGTGACAAAAAAAAATAACAAAAGGATTTAAATTTGTATTTGTTCTACGAAGAACAAATATCAACGGCTTGAAAATCTCCCAATCGTTTGTAACATAATTATTTATATTGTCGAATAAAAATAGTTTACTCCATTCGAAAATTGAGACGAAAAAATTAAAAACTTTTTCTCAAATAAAAAAAAAAAAAATTCCAAATAAACGAATGAAAATAATTTATAAATCAAAATGAAGTGAATTAATTGATATGAAATTAATTCGTAAATAAAAATCGTAAAAAAATATGCAACTCAAAATATCGTAAAAGGGAATAAAATCTTTTAATAGGAAAACAAAAAATAAATACCTAAGTAAATTGAAAATAAAAATATAAAGAAAGCATTTAGTTAATAAAATGAGTAAAATATTGATCAATTTCTATTCATTCGTAATTTTCGCGAAATTTACAATGAGAAAATATTTCCGAGGGCGAAGGGGGGAGAAGGTTGATTCTTGAAGGGAAAGTTTTGTTCAATTCAAAAGTTATAGAATCAAAAGTTTCGAGACTTTTCAGCTCACACAAAAGTTTTGCTGTAAATTTAACTTTCGCACTTTCAAAAGGCAATTTTCGGTCGGGTCAGGGAAATTATTATTATTATTATTATCATAATGTTCAAGAATCTTTTACAAGACAATTTACAAGTTCTTTGTATATCTATACCATACAATTGAGAGATAGAAATACACTGTGCTCTCGATTGAAAATTTTCAATCGTTCCTCTCTTTTAAATCCAATTTCCTTTTACTTTATAACAACTCAATTCAATTTCAGCCTTTTTTTTATTCAACATTTAACGTTATAGGAAACAAAAAAAAAAAAAAAAAGTTCTATACAATATCTCTGGCACAGAACATGCGCTAAAAACGTTTTTAATTACTGCCTAAAGCTTCTTTTGAGAATGAATATTGCAAAAAAAAAATATATATATCTCTTTCTTTAATCATAAAAATTTTGTTGAAGAAAAAAATGTTTTTTGAAATACGATAATAATAACAGAAGTAAATGATACATTTTGATTTTCTATTCTTTCATTGTTGCACTAAAAGCTTTTTTTATTTTGTTCCTTTTTCTGTTAAAAACAGTAATTACTCATCTTTAATAATTTCTAAAAATTGTTTAATTATTAAAAATCTTATTAAATAATACGATCGGAATAAATATGCATAAAAATTGAAATTCTCCAGTTTATTGGATATTTGTAGTGTGTGAGAAAATTTCAAATGGATTTTTAATCAAAGAATTTCTCGAGTATAAAAAGGGTGAAAAAGAGCTATTGAATATTTAAGTATATTGGAATTTTGAAAACGATTCAAATCAGCAAATAACGGACTTTAAAAGCCTTTTCTAGTTTCTAAGAATTTTGAGAAAAAGATTTTTATTTTTTTGCAGCAACGTTTAATGGTTAATGTACTTTTTATCCTTTTTTTTATACAATTATGGATAAATTTTAGGATTATGAATCCTTTAACTCTGTCAGAAGCAGCAGGTGTGTGAACCGTGTAATAATTTATTGAAACAGCCTGTTAAAATTGTGGAGCAAAATTCAAATAACGAATAATTGCTTATTTGTGATTCATATGTACTTAATTTTCTTAATGGTTTTTTTTCATTATTAATTTTCCATAGAAATTAAGATTTTCGAAAATTTCAAATTCAAACCTTTTTGAAATTAAATAACTCATAAGAATATTATCATAAAACATGAAGAAATTGATTACTCAGAGTCTTCGACTCGGAGTAATCGATGTCTTCATGTTTTATAATTTCAATTATTATTTTCTTTAATTTTTAACTAATATTCTTCATTAAATAAATTATTTTTAATAATTTTTTGAAAAAGTTCTTTAAGAATTTTTAAATCTATTTGTTTACAATACAATTTTACGTAAAATTTCGATTATTCGAAAATTTTCCAATTAAATATACATTAGAAAAGACTTCTAATAATTTAAAAAAGAATTTAATTAAACTTTTCCAAAAAAATTAATTCTACAAAATTATCTTAAAAGTATGAAAAATTCAAATTTTCAAAGATTTTAATTTGAAACAATTTCAAAATTCAATTATTTTTTAAAAGTTCACGGTATAATGCTTTTAATATTCAATTATTATTTAAAATTTTAACTGAAATTCAATTTTAAATCAATTATTATCAGAAAATTCTACTAGAATTCAATTATTTAGATACAAAAATAAATTATTTATTAAATAATTAAAAATTATTTAAAATTGAATTCTCATAAGGAATGTAATCGACAAATTTTTTATAAATTAAATTTAAATTAAAAACAATTGAATTTTTGAAATGAATTTTAATAAAATTTTTGAAAATAATTGAATTTTTGAGAAAACTTTTATTATTTTAAAAGATAATTGAAATTTTAATCATTATTATTTTTTCTACCAGGAATAAAGATTTTTAAAAAATTCAAATTCAAACAAAATTTTTAAAAATTAATGAAAATAATTGAATTCTTGCAAAGAATTTTTATAACAATTTTGTTTAAATAATTAAATTCTCTCGAAACCGATATAAAAATTGTATTTTTTATAATTGAATTCCTATACAGAATCTATTATTTTTGAAAAATAATTGAAATTTTGCCAAGACTTTTATTACTATTTTTAAAAATAATTGAATTTTAGTGATGAACTTTTATTATTTTTAAAGATAATTGAAATTTTTACAAGAATAATTTAAAATTTCTAAAAATAATTGAAATTTTTGCAAGAATTCTATTACAATTTTTGAAAATAATTGAATTTTGCCATTTTGGTGATGAATTTTATTAGTTTTAAAGATAATTGAAATTTTTACAAGAATTCTTCAAAATTTTTGCAAGAGTTTTATTATAATTTTTGAAAATGATTGAATTTTTTTAGTGTTTTTTACTAAATTTCTTTTATAAATAAATTATTATTATTCATTAATTAAATATAGAAATTCAACTACCTAATTTCAAAAGAATTTGAATTATCATTATTTTTTTCAAAAACTAAGTTCATTACAATTTCTAACAAAATTTATTAAAAATTCAAATTTTCTAAATGAAAAAAATGATAGAAATTCTAACATGAAATTTATCATCATTTTTAAAAATTATTGAATTCTGATATTTTATTAAAATTGCATTGAAAATAATTGAATTCTTGCAAAGAATTTTAAAATAATTGAAGTTTTAACAACAAATTTTTATAATAATTGAATTCTTTCGAAAAATTTTATTGAAAATAATTGTTATGAAGCAAAAAATTCAAAATAATTGAATTCTATAAAGATATTTATCAAAATTTTTAAGGATAATTGAATTCAAATATTTTATCAAAATTATATTGAAAATAATTGAATTCTTGGAAAAAATTTTTAAATAATTGAAATTTTGATAAAAAATTTTTAGAATAATTGAATTCTTTCGAGAAATTTTATTGTAAATAATTGTTATCCTGCGAAAAATTCAATATAATTGAATTCTGTAAAGATATTTATCAAAAAGTTTAAGAATAATTGAATTCAGGTATTTTATTAAAATTGTATTAAAAATATTTGAATTCTTGCAAATTATTTATTTATTCATCTATTTTACCAGAGGAATTTAAAATAATTGAAATTTTGACAAAAATTTAAAAAAATAATTGAATTCAAATAATTTATTAAAGGTGTATTGAAAATAATTGGATTCTTGCAAAGAATTTTTAAGAATAATTGATTTCTTTGGAGGATTTTATTGAAAATCGAAATCTTATAAAAATTAATTAATTTATAAATAATAATTTTATGGTTCTTGTTCAAGAATTAAGTTATTTAAAAAGAAATTATTATCGGATATAGAAAAATGTGAAGGTTTTTCATTAGAATTCGTGGTTATTTCATAGCGTTTATAAGGCAAACCAAAAATACACCAAAATTCAGAATTTTCTTATGAATTCTAAAAATCACTAACTTTTCCCTGATTTCGATGACAAATACCAATATTTAGAACCGATTTTGGGTGTAAAATCGCCATTTGATTCAACAATAAAATTTTAACACCAGAAAGCGATAATTTATCACTTTCTTGTTACACGGTACAGAATTCCAAAAGAGAGAGAGAAGTGGAAATTACATTTCGAAATTCCATAAATAATTTTGATTTTCCATGAAGGGAGACTAAATTCGACTAAATTTTTTCTTTGTGAGAGACTAAATTTTGCGGGTTTAATGCATACGTAAATGAGAAATTGACTTACTATTGGAGCGTGCCTGGGAGGATTGAACGACGGGATTATTGTTCGCCTCGGCGTTGTTCTGTTGTTGAACACGATCCGTAGTGATGTTGGCAGAGGTCATCAAATTTGATGACTTGGACGACCAGTTGGTGCACACGTCACAGCCTTCCGCCGAGCGGGTTGTCATCCGGCAGCAGGACCACCGCCTTCCGTACCAAAGACCCGTGTGATAACGACCACTGAGACTAGAATTCTCGTTGCACACTACGAGAGAATCAAATGAGAAAAGTTCTCTTTTCATATCAATGGTTATTTTCAAACATTTTCAAACATTTTCAAAACCCACCCACACACACACACACATATAACTAAAAGCACCCAGCACAAGCATCTCCAATGAAACTGGGACGCTGATGGCTCCAAAATTTCCATACAAACGTGCTCGCTCCTCATATTATACTCGCGTGCTACTTCAACCCTCATCTTTACTTACTTGGGTCAATAAAATGCTAATTTACAATTTCTCACGTTTTAACGTACTGCTTCTTTCATCCCAAGTTCAATAAATTTACCCAGCCAACTGTATTCTAATTTTCTTATTTCAAAAACGAATATTGCAAAAAAAAACCCCATCGTGTAAAAGTTAAATTTTCCTCGAAAAATGCAGACAAAAAAAATTGATAGAAATTGCATAAAAAGCCCTGTGAAAAAAAGCGACAAGAAAAAAGAATGAAATAAAATAAAAAGCGCTGTTGGACGTGCTCAATTAAATTTAGTGCAAATTTAAATTTGCAAATTTTCCCAGAAATTATACACGTGCAAATTGAGCTTTTTACCGCAGTTAACTATTATTAAAACATTCATTCATTCTTCAACACTTTTACGAAATATTTCCGCGCACCTACAATTAAATATTATTAAAACTCAATATTTCATTTTTGATCCAATTTTTAATACCTACAATTAAATATTATTAAAACTCAATATTTCATTTTTAATCCTATTTTTAATACCCTTTAAAAAATATCAAAACAATTTTCCAGTTTTCTGAAAAAAAGAACATGCGCGAAGGATTCGGCAATTATAGGGGAGAGTCTCCAGTTGTGAGACACCTCCAGTTGTGAGACAGTCAATTTTTTTTAACATGCAATATTAAAAAGCCGATTGGTTTATATAAAAACATTTCTTTTTATATGAGCCAACTTTTTCGTGTACGCCGAAGCGGATATATAAACTGTTTTTGTTAAATACCAACACTGTGTGTGATAATCGACTAAAAAGCGTTTTTTCAATAAATACAAAGTACTTTTTTTCCAAGTTAATTAATTGGAAAAGGTAAATGTAATGCATTTTCTTTTAGTGTTTTCCTTATATTTTGTGATGCAATATTGCATTGTTCCAATCTACGGTTGAAAATAATTTAATTTTCCTTTTTCAAAATAGCGCCAATTTCTGGGTGTGAGACACAGCATATCACCAGTTGTGAGACGGTGTCAACACCCATCTGGGCAGCATAAAAAATACGACTTTGCAGGCATACTATTTAAATGTTGTTTTGATTTTTTTTCTAGAATTTTTGGGCATGTCAAGTGGAAAAAAGTCAATTGATTCAGAAGAAATCAATTTTAATGCTCTTGTTCAAGCTATTAAATTGTGTTTATTTGATAGTCATATTTTGGCGAATAAATATTATTATTTAGTATATAATAATATATATTATTAATATATTTAATTATTTCTACTAAACATAACGTTTTATGTCAAACTTATTAAATTTTAGCAATTTTTAATGAGTGTCTCACAACTGGAGACATTTTTTTTTTTTGAAAAAAGCGATGTGCTCGGAAAATGTATCGTAAAATTTTTTGAGTTCATCGAAACACTATACTTTCTTTTAATAAAAGTTGCGTATTTCTGTTACCTTTCGAACGGTGTATTTTATTAACAATTTCGTTTACCCGTTTACAATTTACGGGTCAAAAATGAAACCCGTCTCACAACTGGAGACTCTCCCCTACAGACATTAGGATAAAAAAAGAACGAAAAAATTGACAAATAAAAAGGAAACATTCAAAACCGAATTTATCGAAATTAGAAAACCAGTTCAAATAATCAGAATGAAATTGGAATTTCAAGGCATTTAATTAAGAAATTTTCGAAGTTGAAGCATTATTAATCATCGAAGATTCAAACTGGGAGTCGTTTCAATTAACAAAGTTTTCAACTTTGAAGCCCTTTTAATCAATAAATCTTAAAACTCACTTCCAATTTATCAACGCTTTCAACTTTTGATTAAAAATTATCATCGTAATTTCACTTTTAATTATTGACAGTTTTCTATTTTAAAGGTCAAGAATCGTTTTTGTGACGAAAATTAGGGAGAGGAACTTTTATCCCTTTTTCAAAATTCAAAAAACCGTATTTTTTTCTAGTTTTATTTAAAGTAAATATTTAATTATTACTATTTTTCCATAGGAAGATTGTTGCTCTAAATTTTTCAAAGTTATTTTCATCATTTCAATTCAATTATTATTTTCTACACTTTCTAACTCAAATTTAAAGAATTCAATTAAAAATCATAAAAAAAAGTTTACATTAAATATTTTTTATGGACTGTAAATAATCTAGATTGTTGCTAGGATGTTGCTAAACAACACCCTGAAAAATAAAAAATTTTATTAAAACTTTTAAACGCTTAATTAAATATTTGAAACCACAGCCTGAAACTAGCAGAAGATCAAAATTGTCATAAAGAGCAATTAAAACTAAATTCTTTTGTTTTTTTTAATTTTAAAGAATTGCAAACAATCTAGATTGTCGCGGGGATGTTGCTGAACAACATCCAGAAGAATAGAAAAATTTATTGCAACATTTAAGAACTTTTTAATAAAAGTAACCACAGCCGAACTCTAGCAGAAAATCAAAAATTGTCATAAAAATAATTTAAAATTTAATTCTTTTCAATATTAATAATTTTAATGGATTCCAAACAATCTAGATTGTTGTTAGGATATTGCTGAACAACATCCAGAAGAATGGAAAATTTAATTGTAACTTTTAAGGTCTTTTTAATAAAAGAAACCACAGCCGAATTCCAGCAGAAGATCAAAATTGTCATAAAAAGAAGTTTAAATTAAATTCTTATCAATTTTATTATTTTTTATTCAATGGAAATGATCTAGATTGTTGCTGGGATGTTCCTGAACAACATCTTGGAGGATAAAAAATTTTATTGCAACTTTTAAGTACTTTTTAATAAAAGTAACCACAGCCGCCAACTAGCAGAAGATCAAAATTGTCAAAAAATAATTTAAAATCTAATTTTTTTCAATATTAATAATTTTAATGGATTGCAAACAATCTAGATTGTTGCTGGGATGTTTCTGAACAACATCCTGGAGGATAAAAAATTTTATTGTAACTATTAAGTACTTTTTAATAAAAGTAACCACAGCCGAATTTCAGCAGAAGATCAAAATTGTCATAAAAATAATTTAAAATTAAATTCTTTTCAATTTTAATAATTTTAATGGATTGCAAACAAACTAGATTGTCGCTGGGATGTTGCTGAACAACATCCAGAAGAATGGAAAATTTAATTGTAACTTTTAAGGTCTTTTTAATAAAAGAAACCACAGCCGAATTCCAGCAGAAGATCAAAATTGTCATAAAAAGAAGTTTAAATTAAATTCTTATCAATTTTATTATTTTTTATTCAATGGAAATGATCTAGATTGTTGCTGGGATGTTCCTGAACAACATCTTGGAGGATAAAAAATTTTATTGCAACTTTTAAGTACTTTTTAATAAAAGTAACCACAGCCGCCAACTAGCAGAAGATCAAAATTGTCAAAAAATAATTTAAAATCTAATTTTTTTCAATATTAATAATTTTAATGGATTGCAAACAATCTAGATTGTTGCTGGGATGTTTCTGAACAACATCCTGGAGGATAAAAAATTTTATTGTAACTATTAAGTACTTTTTAATAAAAGTAACCACAGCCGAATTTCAGCAGAAGATCAAAATTGTCATAAAAATAATTTAAAATTAAATTCTTTTCAATTTTAATAATTTTAATGGATTGCAAACAAACTAGATTGTCGCTGGGATGTTGCTGAACAACATCCAGAAGAATGAAAAATTTAATTGTAACTTTTAAGGTCTTTTTAATAAAAGTAACCACAGCCGAATTTCAGCAGAAGATCAAAATTGTCATAAAAAGAAGTTTAAATTAAATTCTTATCAATTTTATTATTTTTTATTCAATGGAAATGATCTAGATTGTTGCTGGGATGTTCCTGAACAACATCCTGGAGGATAAAAAATTTAATTGTAACTTTTAAGTACTTTTTAATAAAAGTAACCACAGCCGAACTCTGGCAGAAGATTAAAATTGTCATAAATAGAAGTTTAAATTAAATTCTTTTTAATTTTATTAATATTTATGGACTGTTAACAGAATTTTCTTATGAAGTCTAAAAATTTAAATTTTTCCATCACTTTTTATAAAAATCCCTGACTTTTTCCTGATTTCTTTGACCAATTCTACTTTCTCTGACATTTTCCTGACTTCCATGATCTGTGGGAAAGGAGTGGGGACAGCGCGTCGTGATAGGATCTCGTCTGTTACTCCCACTCTCTGAATACTGCGCGCGCAACAAGAGACGAGTAGGGATAGCGTACGTTCAACCTGGACGCTATCCTCACCAGAGTTTTTCCAAATTAACCCCCAAAAACACTACTCGAAAATGAATTCCAAATGAATGAATTGAATTATATTAAAAAATGTAATAATTACCAGATCGAATAGCGCGAATCCACTCGCTGCGTTCCTCTTCTCTTGCTGCCAGCAGGTAAAGAGTATAATCCTGTGCAGTCTCACGATAACCCACTTGAAACGGAAAGCCAGCAGGTGCACCGCCACTTCCTGTTCCACTGGAGCTTGATACCGAATCACTTCCGTTAATCTCGTTGTTACCAATCCCAAGATTGGCGACCTCGACTATATGGACATTTTCCACTGCTATTCTACCTCGCTCCTTGCGTCTCTATAATCAAAATCGATACTTCATTAGGCATTAGGAATATCCCGAATTACCGATTTGATTTCGATCTCTAATTTATTGGGCGCTCAAATCCCTTGCACAAAATCCTTTAGGGAAATCTCTCTCGCAAATCTAATTCCAGAAATTTTATTACACATCCAATTGTCGAATAAAAAAAAGCAAAAGAGTTTTTCAGAAATTCGGTTGAAAAATAGTGTCAGAAAGATATTCCATAATAAATATTCCATAAGAAAAAGTTTCATATAAGCCAAAAATTTATGATAGCTCATCTCACGTTTTAAGACTTAATTCTCAGAATTGAAATTTTCCAAGGGCGATGATAATAATAATGAAAAAAAAAAAGAAAAACTGTCCAAGTTGATAAAATTCTGGATGCGGTTCGTTTTATAAATCCTTGCGCGGAAATCTCGTTTGCATTAATAACTTTGTGGTCTACTTTTTATCAGTATAGGAGAGTTCTGATAATTATGTTGAGATTCGCGTATGATTATAATATATTCTGCACGCGACCCAATTTTGCCGCAGATGATTAACTCTTGATGTTTGTACAATGAATAATTTAAAATGCAAAATGCGCATTGTTGAATATATAAATAGATAAAGGTTGAGGTGGGGGGGGGAGGGAAAAGTTAAAAAAAGGAAAAAAAACAATCACAATTCCTGTTGTGTACAGTGAACTTTGCTGAAATTTATTACCAAATTTATTACATGTAATTTTAATTGGAATTAACGTATGTGTAGTATGTACATATTCTTCGACCTTTTCCAAATATATATATATAATGAAACATTCGATTTAATTCCGTATGGATTATTTAACAGTAGTTGATATGAAGTTAATATCGAAGGTTCTTTTTAATTATGTAGAAACATGATTTCTACTTTATTTTTTCGATTCTTGGCAAAATTTCAATTTTTTTCAAAACTTTAATTTTGCTATTCATTTATAAAGATAATTGAATTGTTGACAATTGTTTTTAGATAGAACCTGAATTCAATGGGCAATCCACTTGCAGCATCTTGATTGGCATATGCAAAATTTATCGCCAACAGATTGATCAAAGTCCAGTGCACAAAGTTTTTCTTTTTCAATAAAACATAATTAGAACTGATGCGCAACAATTTCCCACAAAATTGACAAGTACCATACCACTCATCTCCACCTTGTTGAAACTTTGTGTTGCAGTTCACAATTAGAAGCAACTCTCCGAAATCTCCCAAAGAATAGACTCTCAGATGCAGCGTTTCCACACAGCGGGTGGAAATTGAAAGTTCCCTGAAGCGTGGAACTGTGCGGATGAATTAAAGGAAACTGCAAACTAGAACTTGAAAATACTTGTTGTCGAAGATGAGCTGTCTGCAACTACTTTTCCCCATCCTCTAAGTACTTGAAGACACAATATATACTCAAGAAACAACTAGCGAAACAATACTTCCAATTAACTTTCAAAATTGATAACCTTAGTTGAATTGTGGTCGAGGAGAAATAATAAACGGATAGGAAGAAAATGACATTGCTAATCTTAATTCTTCTTGGAAGTTGTTAACTGATGCTCTCTGCTCTCCACACCCTCTATACTTTAGGAATTATTTAAGGTAATGACCTAAATTATCCCCGAGGCATCGAACCCGTGACTGATCGTTCAACTTCTTGACAGAATCGATCAACATTATCCAAATTGCTTCTCAAAATCTCGTTATTGATGAACTTTATCAACTTTTCGATTGGAACTCTCTTCTCTCTATAGTGTTCATTTAACTGAATTTTGCCACCGCCATTCATTTAATCGATTTTTTCATTTTTCTCTATAATCTCTAAAAAGAAAAAAAACGAATCTTTATGGAATCTTTTCTGATTCTCATAATAATCAAAGTATTGAATTACTTTTCCTATTGAGAAAATGGTTTCCATCTGGAGTAACTTCACTTTTGTGGTTTATAATCATCTGAACAAAAAATTTTTGTCTTCCAAAAGAGTCAATGTTTTATTGGCAGAAATTTATAAAATTCGCATCAAACTCTTCACTCAGGGGTTTTTGGGGTCTGATCACGAATCTAATACTAGATTCTAAAAATTCAAGAAGACGTCTTCGTGTGAAATTGGTTCGATTTTTAAAAATCGTTCTTGCAGGAATATTAAAGCAAATATTGACGGTAAGACAGAAAGGAGAATTAAAAAAAATTGTTTTACCTTTGTCACTGAAGGGAAATATTGATTGAGTAAATTTGGAAGACGAACCAGAAATAATTCATTGAATCAATATGGAATAAAGTTTCTTTGGGCAGAAGTTGCTCATCGAGGTTGCGAATCTACTTCAAGTGGAAAGAGAGTGATAGAGAGTGAGAGAGAGAGAGAGAGAGAGAGAGAGAGAGAGAGAGAGAGAGAGTAACAAGAGTTTAATACGGGTGGTTTAAGTGAATCGATTATGTGCTGGGAGTGAAATGTCAAGACTAGTTGAGGACTTCGTTAGTAGAGGGTGGAGACAAAGTTTTCGATGCAACTTGCAAGCCCTCGCAGATTTGGTCTTCCAAGAAAGACTCGCACACACCAACCCTCCACTGATTAGTCATGCACAATTTAAATCAACTTGATCCATCTCTTCCATGAAATCACCTGGAAATTAGAAATCATACTCCTTATACTTTTATACTTAACAAAAATGTCAAGAAGTTCTTTGAGAAATTCTCTCATAAATAATATATATACAAATTCACTGACACGAACATTGTGCGGATCAACTTTTCGAAACTAGTTTCATATGCTTTGAGAGAGAAATATTTCATTTAATCAACGAGATGAAGAAGCCATTAAAAAATGAAATCCAACACTTTCCGCTTATTATACAAAGTGCAAGTGAGAGGAGAAAATTTGTTATAAAACTTTTCCATAAGGATTTTTTTTTAACAAAAATTTCTTCCAACATAAACATCCAAAAAAAAAAAATACAACACAAATAATATCGAAAATTTTCATAAGCAATGGTAAATAAAAAAATTCTACGAGAAAACCAGAGATACGAGAAAATACACGCAAACAAAAATTGAGGAAAAAAAAAAGTCCTCAATTTTTCTTTCATAAGAAAATTTTTCTTCTCTCTCATTAAAAAAAATTTTTTCTTAACGCGTCCTCTTCATCCTTTACCGATATTTTTTTCTTTACAAGTAAAAAAAATTTTTTTTTCCTGAACTTTATTAAGCTCTAAGGACCACTTTATCTTTTCTTGCTCCAATTTTCAAATCTCTTTTTAATCTCTTAAGAATATTGAAGGTAGAAATATAATAATAAAAAAGAAAATAACGGGAAATAAACTAGAGACGATACACAACAGAACACTATAAGAGGATTTCAGCATCTTTTCAACGGAGAAAGAAAAGCAATTTTTAATTAAAAAGATAAATTCTTCAAATTTTTAATTTACCTAAAAGATTTTTTTCTTATTATATTATTATTATTATTTTAATAAAAAATATTTTCCTCCTGAATGAAATCGAAATGTAAACTTGGAAATTATCTTTTTAGAATATGATTCGAAATTACTAATTAATATATAATTAAGCTAATAATTACTTATTAGCTTAATTATTTATTAATTATTAATTAATTAAAAAAAATTTTAAAAAACAAAAATTATTTTCATTTTTGCATAAAGTGTACAAATCGAAAAAAAGAAAATTCTAAGGAAAATATATAAAAAAATGGAGAATTTTCCTGATTATATATAAAATAGTTGAAATATTTTCTTTCTGTTCAAGAATAAAAAATTGGAAAACAATCCAGAACGTGGATACAAAGCGAAAAATATCACAGACTGAATATAAATCATTCCACATGAGAAGAGTAATTGCAATTAGAAAATTCTATCCAACCTTTAGAAAGGAACAAAAAAAGGGTAGAAAAAAATTATTGCAATATTTTTTCATTTGAAAAAATTTTTAAAAAATAAAAGCGAACGAAAATTTATAGAATAACAATTACAAAAAAATATAAAAATTGAAATTAAATTAAAAATAAAACACGACGTTTCCTGAATACGTCAGAATTTAATTATTAAAAATCAAAAAGTAATTTAAACTTGATGAACAAATTTTTTTCTTCTGAAAGGAACTTTCCGTGCATAAACACAACAAAAACTAATTCAACTTCATAATTGAAATAACTATAACTCATTATTATAATAAAAAAAATAAATAAATCTAGAAATAAAAGATTTAAAATGTAAAACAATTTTTTTAAAAAAATGTTTCTGAGAGTATTTTAATAACTTTATAATTGAAAAAAAGGAAAAATTTTTATTTCTTCACAAAGAAAATTTAAATAAAAGCTGAATAAAAAAACAAGAGTTTGTGAGAAAAAATAATAAAAAATTAATAAAACAAGTAAAAAATAAATAAAATAAATAATAATGAAGAAATAAATAAATTTTATGAAAATAAAAAATTCTCCGAGGCGAAAATAAAAAAAAGTTTGCAACAAAATGTTTTAATTCAATACCCTGTAAACGAACGGAGAAAATACATTGACAACTTGTCTGAACAAAAACTCTTTCAATTCGGGAAAATTCTGAAAAATATTCCTCAACAATAAAAATGAAATCGATGCATATAATAGGCAGCAAAAAAAAAAGAATAAAAACAAAACAAGAAGTCAGTCAGACAAAACGATAAATTTATGTATAGAAATATATCTCTATATATAAAAGATAGAGTTTTTCCAATTTTTTAATATTTTAATTTTTTTTCCAAATATGCTTTAAATTTTTTCTATATATATTTTTTAACAATTGCTTTATTAGATTTTGTATATTTATTCACGTATAAAGAAATATTTATTGACGGAAATAATGAAATGACGAGGGGAAAAAAAATTTATATAAAAATAGAAATTAATAAAATTGCGTGAAAAATAATATAGGGAGAGAAAATGATCATATAAATATTGATAAAGTGAAAAAAAATGAATAAAAATAATTATGGGAAATATA